ATTTCAAAATCATAATCAAACCATTTTTCAAAACAAATAAAACACTTGATCAACACCAGGTTTCTTTTTCAAACTCATTCAAAACACTCCAAAATCTTTTTTGCAAATAAATCAGATGTAAAGGACTAGTTAGGCGTTTGCCCTTCTTTTCCCCGAGTATTTGAATACCTTCTGTCTAGCTTGAAAATTCGAATAGTCGTCTTCTTCAAAAAACTCTAATCATATCCAATCTTTTCACAATTAATTTGGATGAAAAATGGCTAGTTAGGTGTATGCCCCCTCTTTTCCCCGAGTATTTGAATGTTCCTCATCCACTCCAAATTATTTTATTAGTGACCGAAATTTCGATAACAAATTTTTTTTATGAATTAATTTATATAAAAAACGATTATTTAAGATTGAGAATTAAGGTCACTAAATGTCAATCGCTAATTCGGTGACTAATTTTATTTTGTGACCGATTTAGTGACTTTTAAACTTTTACTAACAAAATGTCAAATTTTGGTGGCTAATTCAGTCACAGAGTGACCGAAATTTTTCAGTCACTAATTCGGTCACTAAAATAGAATTTTCTTTTAGTGAGTGTCTCGTTAGGCACCCTAATAAAAAAATATTTTTTAGTTCTTTTCTTTTTTCTGTCAAACTTTTAATAATGAAAAGAAAGAAAATAAACAAAATCTAACACTTATTTGCAAAGCTAACTAAATTATTCTCATTGAGTACAACTGATGTGAGGGATACTAATACCTTCCCCTCGCACAACCGACTCCTGAACCGTAATTTGATTGCGACGATCATTTTCTTTTTCTTTGAGGTTTTATCGATATTTTTCCTTCCCTCTTGGAATAAATAAATTTCGGTGGTGACTCTGTTATCATTTCGAGCGTGCGAATTCCTGTGGTATTTTTTTGAACCGTGACATAATGAATGGTTGAGTCAAGAACACTGCAGATAAGAGAATAAGATTGCAGACATAATGATGAAGGTTTTGCATATCGAATTGTTCAAGAGATTGCGAATAATAATGAATGTAAATAGTTTAGACAAAATGAATTAGGTGGTATATTAAATATGTAATTCTTTATGCTAAGTAAGATTGTATTCGAAAAGTGTCAAAGTCTATATGAAGTTGTCGAAGAAGTTTACTTCGATATAGTTTAAGAATATGCAAATTTAACACAGTGAAATCAACCAAAACTTGGCAAGCTTGTTTTTTGTGTAACATTTGAATTAGTGTTTTTTGAGATTACTTGGATTGCAAATAAACTCATTATAAATAGAATGAGACTCTATGTAGTTAAATAACTAATCACTCTATAATCACCTTTGTAATACAATCCAGTGCATTTGCATGGTGCAATACATTCTTCTTCTTCTTCCTTCACAATTTTGTATTCTCTCAAACCTGAGTTTATCTTTTCTTTTTGTCTCTTCAAACCTAAGTGCAAAGTAGAATCATCTTACAACCAAGGTGTGGTTGATTCACTCAATCAAATGGTGAAAAACAAGAGACGCGATGAATTAGAAAGATTGATTCTTGTTCATCAAGATTGATTATGATTATCTCTAAGATTTTAGGTTTAATTCCAACACTATTTAAAAGCAAAATAAAACTCTATATGGAACGGAGTAATCTAATAAAAGGATTGAAATGTTTAAACACCACACACATAAAAACAAATTAATTGTGACGATTTTAATACGACGATTGCATATAAATGCCATTGTTGTCATTCAAATTAAGAAGAAGAAAAAGGTAACTCTGAAGGTAACTTTTATTTCGTTCAAATTTAAAATTTTCTCATAAATAATTTTTATCTATGCTAGACTTAGGAGAAGAATAATTTTTTTTAATTTTTAAATATTAGTATTTGATCTTGTGACTGATTAATTTAAGAAGATCAATTCTACCATTTACTTGTGGAGTCCTATTTAAAGGAAAATAAATCCATATAGAATGTAACAGTCTAATAGAAGGATTGAAATGTATGAACACGAAGCAAACACGTACAAAATGGTTAATTATTATTGTTTTAATACGGTGGTGGCGGTTCCATATAACCGTCATTATTGTCATTCAAATTAAGGAATTTATTCATAAATATAATGGGATAAATGTACTATTTGTTGGGGAGTTTGGGAGAGTCGAGAACACCAATGAGACTAATGCTTCAGGACCACAAGAGAGGAAGACGCCACATCTTAACCAAAAATCTAAGAGTATTAGATAAATGAGTCATCTCTCTCTTATAAATCCAACATTTCATCCATTCATGGACAATGCAGGACTTTAACCACTCACACTTGCATCCGACATTCTCCTCCACGAGTGTGAGTCCCCCACATCCTATAACAGGATCAAACACCAAATCCAGCTCCCATTCCTCCACAAGCCAAACCACAACTTTGATATCGTTGTTGGAGAGTTAGGGAGAGTCGAGAGCACCAATAAAATTAATGTTTCATGACCGCAAGAGAGGGAGCTGTCACATTTCAACCCAAAACCTTAAAGTTTTTAAAAAAATCAATCATCTCTCTTATAAATTCAACTTAATTTTTTAGATCAATATTTTGAACTTCAGAAATTAATATTTTGAACTTCAGAAATTAATATTTTGAACTTCAGCAAATAATTTCTCCCAGTTCTTGTTAAGACTAACAAAAACGTTTTTCTTTTTGTTTGTTTATGCTACACCAAACTTAATCTTCCCTTTAAAATTGAGTTGGCATCAATAACTTTATAGTGTGGAAGCAATTCAACAACTACTTTATATGGGTCTCAATGGCAACTTGGCAACGCGTTTCATACATTTTACAGATACTTAAATGTTTACCAAATGATTTTCGTGTCATCCACTTAAGCTCCAAATTAAACTAAACTACTCAATCCAAACATTCAAAGAAGCAATGTCCATTTGACAAAACAAAAGCATCTATCTTTCATTAAAGAAAAAGAAACAAATAAAAGCATCTCTAACTACCTAATGATTAGTATTCATAAAGTAATAGTATTTCTCTAACCTATAGTACAGTGTATATAATCTCTTATTATTAAAACCATTAACAATATTTGAGACCATGCATCTATATAATAAACTCATCAACTTTTTGAACTTTGGTTTGCTTTCTGGTGTCTCAAAAGAGTTTGACTTCACTGCTGTCTCAGAATATATATCAACCTTTTTCTCTAGCTACTTCTTCTCAGGTTTTTTTATTTTATAATCTTACATAGTTCACATATGTACAATACAATATCCTTTATAATATGTGGCTCAAAAGCACCACTTTGCATGTTCTATACCCCAGCCAACAACCAATATAAACAAATTTATTTACTTCACCATCCCATAATATAACGTAAATGTAGCAGAGATGAACATGTTATGATATATCTGTGTTAAAATTTGATTAGATAAAATTAAAAATGAAAAATATTAGAGTGTCGGGATAACACTTATAGTAAAAAAGATATTAAAAAATAAACTTAAGTGGTTTGAATGTATAAAACGTAGTTCGATAGATTTTATAGTAAGAAGGTATTGCAAATGGAGAGAAGAAAAAAACAATTAAAGAAAAGAGAAGACCTAAAAAGACTATTAGAAAAATTATTAAAAAATATCTCGAGATTAATTATTTCGACAGAAATATGATTTTTGATAGATATTATGGCGAAAGTTGATCTATGATTCTTGATAGAACATTATGACGAAAATTGATCTATGTAATCAATCTCGTTTGATAAGATAAAATTTAATTGTTGTTATCTCATAAATATAACTCCAAGTTACATATTATAAAGACTTGGGTCATCATAGTATGGTTCTCTCTAGATCTCAAATTCAAATTCCATTAAATATTAGCGAATACCAAAATTATAACAAAATCATAAAATGTTTATTTGAACACCCACATTTATTTCAAGATTTTTCAAACATACCAACCTTTAAAAGACCATGAGAGAGAGAAGTGACTAGAATGCAAATTTAGCTATAGTAGTTGTACTTTTGTACATACCCCATGTTACCTTGTCCCTAATAATTTACTATAGTTGATGTAACTAATGAATAAAGCTAGAAAATAGTGGAGTCATGTAACAGAACCCCTAAGAGGGGCCAACCAATGAGTCAAATTGGAGAGTCTCATAAACATTGCATCTTTAGTTAATCCAAAAACAGGACAAGAAAGTAGCCATAAAGTCTGTTTCAATTTTCTTCAATTAGTAAAATCAAACCTTGTGCACCAAAATTTATCAACAATTCCAACTATACTCTCTTAGTATAACCTAACACCTCTACATTGGTAAACCTATCAAAAAATTCCAAATTTGAAACAATCAATGCAACATATTTTTATGTGACAATTTTTTTGTTGTTCTAGTTATCCCACAGTCAAAGTTATTGAAGTCAAACAGTACATTGGTTTCACTTTCATAGGTAAAAAAAACATAATTATCCTTGTACAAAAACAAATAACAACTTACATTATATATTGTCCACAATTCCCCATATTCATTACAAAGGACATAACATTCTGCAACGCTCATCTCCACAACTAGAAAACTCAACTAAAATCTAACTTAACCAATTAAAATACTAATAATCAAAATTATTGACAATAGTTCTTTTTCCTCTTAAAAATATACAGAAATACAAATGATGGATCACTCTCTCCTTATGAAAGTTAGTTATTTATTACCTTCAACATAATCTCGAACTTTTTCTCTATTAATCATAGGTGCGATCATATCAACAATAACATATCAGATGAGTTCTGAGAATTCTGAGGCAAAATGAGCTTGGATAAGAGGTGTTTGGATGAATGTGAGCTTCACATCTCATCCACATCTTGTACAAGATCTCAAAATCTCAAAGTAGAGAATATTTGTTTATTATTACATATATATAATAGAATATTGAAGAAGAAAAAAAGGAAATATAATTATTAATTAATAAGAAAATATTGGTGGATTTTTTTTCTGTGTGTTGAATTTGAAGCTAGCACTAACAAGCGTAGAAATCGACAAGTTCATCAAGTGACTCAGGTTGAGGATCAGCATTTTCGAGCATCCATAGTAAATGTTCGAAAAGAACAACCTCGCATGCTACGACATTAACGTTGTCGTTTTCTTGTTCGGTTTCACGGGACCTTTCAATGAGTTCGCGAAAGACAGGGTTGTCGACAACGTCAGAGGTGACACGGTAGAGACGGCGGGACTTGCCGACGAAGACGCTGTGAAGGTCGGATCTGAAGGAGGAGGAGGATTCTTCATCGGCGACGGCGCTGATGCTGTGGCGGCTCTGTTTTCCGTTTCCGAACGAGTTCCATTTTTTGAGCGCTGATTTTAGCTTCAATAATTTTCCACCTTTTGCCATGTTTGAATTATGAACATGCAATGAAAATGATGAGAGAGAGAGAGAGGTGGGAGAGGGATGAGGGAGGAAGGTTCGTATATAAAGGATGGGGGAGGGGGCAAAACGGTCATATCAGTGCAAAAATGTTGTATTAGGAGGGCCCGCTGCCTTCTACTTGGGCAAATTATTTATCCCATCCTCCATGAGATAACAACATGTAATTCCTCAACTTATAATGATGAGAGTGATGGTTATAAATTTTAAACTATTTGTTTTAAAATAACTAATTCATTTGTTTTTTTTGTTGCAACTAACTAGTTCACTTGTTTTTTTTGTTACAACTAGTTTATTTCTAAACTATATTTATTTCAAAATAATGAAAATGATTTACTCTTGCTTTTATTTTTTTAATTTCAATGTAATACTGTTTTTGTTCTTAAAATAAACATCCATTAAAAAAAACTATTCATAACTATAAGAGAAACAAAATGTATTAAGACAGTGTAAAATTATTTTACACTATTCAAAAGTAATACTATTTCTATATTTCCAAATGTTGTAGACGGTTTCAGCTACTAGCATCTCCATAACATCAACTTTCCATCCTTTCCCCTTTGTTAGATCAATGATCCAAATCAGTTATACATCCCATTGTTGGGGTTCATGCTGAATGCTAAACCACCTGAGTATTTCCATCCATATGTGTTTTGTCTTTGTACAGTGGAAAAATAGGTTATTCATCGTTTCTTCCTCAGATTTGCGCAAACTGCATATGTTGTCTTCAATTATCCCAAAATGTTTTAACCTTTCTTTGGTTGCAAGTTTCCCATGGCAAGCTTGCCATAAACATTGGACTGCTCGCGGTTGTACTTTATTGAATCTGATCAGTTTCCTCCAAGGCACCCTTGTGCCATTATCAATTAGTATCTTATAGAATTTGTGTGTGGTCATAGTTTGGTTCCATTCATTCCGAATCATATCCATGTAATCTCTTTGTTTCAAAATACCCGCATGATCAAGGAATTATGTGTTTTGGTTACATACGTCATCACATCATCGCCTTTTAAAGAATGAGTATGGATCCACTTGATCGATAGTGTGTCGGTTTTGTTGCAAAGGTTGCACAGACATTTCAAGAACAGCACATTGTTCCAAGTCTGAAGGTTTAATATGTTCATCTCGCCCTGCGCAATAGTTATTTTTCTGCATATGCATGTAGTTAATTCTATTAATTTATTTATATTTTCTTAATTGACTGTAATGACATTCAAATATTAATGAATATATTTTCATAATTTATTCTAATATTTGTACAAAAATCACATTCAATAATAATTAATTTTTTTCATATATATATATATATATATATATATATATATATATATATATATATATATATATATATATATATATATATATATATATATATATATTCAATGTATTAATTTTATTTAATACACTATTATTTTTCACTCAGGAAAAGATGTTTGATTAACAAAAGAGAATAAATTTTAGGTTTCAGTATATAGAATAAGGAATACAATAGAGCATAAATATTAGATAATAAAAAAAGATTTTTTACCCTTACTAATATATGATATTATATAATAATAATAATAATAATAATAATAATAATAATAATAATAATAATATTATTATTATTATTATTATTATATAATATCTCCCTTCAAATTCATGATGCATTAACAAAAAGTATAAAGAGTTTGTCAATTAAGAAACGAAAGTGTTTAATGGAATGTGTTTTTGTCAACAAATCAACAATTTGTAAAGAAGAAGAGACGAACTGTAGAGTAATTGTTCTATGCTAAAGATGGTTACGAGTGAAGTGACAATCAATCTTAATATGCTCGGTACGTTCATGAAATATTGAGTTGTGAAAAATTTGAATGACACTTTTGTTATTACAATACATGAGATTTGGTTCAGAAAGAGTGACACACACATATCCAAAAGTAACCACCACAACCAAACTATTTTAGTAGCGGTGGATGCCATAACACGATACCCAACTTCTATAGAATAACGAAATTGTTTCTTACTTTTTCAAAAAATAAGAGAGTCTTCAAGAAAGATAAGAAAGCATATGGCAAACTTACGATCTATGAAGTCACCAGCCCAATCAACATTAGGATAAACATGTAACTCCAATGAGGACTATGAGAGAAATATAAGGCTCTAAAAATGGCTTCCTAAAGATAACGAAGAATGCAAAGAATAGCTCCCCAATGTACTGTAGTGGGAAAGACAACAAACAAACTAGCAACATGAACATCATAAGGTAGACCAGGTTGCCAAGGAAAGTGTGATACAAATGAGATTTAGTAGAGTAACACCATTAGAGGGAGAATATTTCACATTCAATTTAAGAGAACCATTTGCTTCTCTAGTATCAGAAAGTCGAGCTTGTTCAAAGATATTAGCAATATACTTTGATGGAGAAAGAAGGTAGCTTTTAGGAAAGTAGGTGTTATACCCTAAATTTTACCCCTAAGATCCCATCTTCTTTTTTGCATTTTTGCATACAAACAAGATTACAAACTAATTGATTGTCTCTTAACCCTCTCATCCTTTGGGTTTACTTTTGCAGAGACTACCAAGCACCTCTTTGTGTATCTTTTCCTTTATGTTTATATGCTTTATGTTTTCACAAACTACTAATCTAAATGCCAAAAATATGTCTTGTATCCTTTTTTTTCTTTGCAAGGTAGGGTGTTATACCAAGAACGCCAAGCATGAATTCATCAGCTAGGGTTTTGCTCCCTCAAGGTTAAAGTATGGTCAACTATTGGTTTACAAGGGCTATCTCATCAAACCATGACTTATAATATCAAAGTACATGGTTTCAAACATCATTCAATCTTATTTTGATCAAATATATCTCAAGGTTTAATAGTTTGTCCCTCAAGAAAAGTCAAAGGTTCATCTGTTTTTTTCCATGCCTTCATCAACAAGTTACCTCAAGCTTTGGTCAATTTAATCAAGGGAAATTTAAGGACACATTATTTTGAGGTCATATGATCATCCATGTTCTTTAAAATGTAAGGAAAGTCCAAGTGTACAAGTTGATTCAAGGAAGTTTGACCAAAAAGCCAACTTTTCAAGTCAAAGTTCAAAAGATCACAACTCCTTCAATTCTCAATATTCTTTAATGCTTCTTTTTACATATGAATCTTCTCAACATCCTCTTCAACTTCCATTTACATGACAAGAGCCAATTATTCTTGGAGGATCATCAAAATTTTGGAAACATTATAGGTCATTTGTGGACTTAGTGAAATTTTGCCTATTTTCAAGTGATTTTTTCTCAACTTTCAAGAATCACAACTTCTTCAATTTTCAACATATGAAGCTCATTCTTTTGCGCATAAATCTTTGTGATACACTTTACAATATTGCTTCAATGATCAAAGTCAAATTGTGCTTGGAAGGCCATGAAATTCATTAATACATTATAGGTCATTTTCAGTCATTTGGACTTAGAAATTTTCAAGTTTGGTTTGCCAGATTTTTGTGCCAACTTCAACATGTCATAACTTTTTGCTAAAGCAACCAAATGAAATCTTTCTTGATATATTGTGATCTTTGTCATGATGTTAGCAAATTGTAAAAAGAATTGGATCAAAAAGCCTCTTATGCAAGGTGCCCCGTTGATGCAAACATGGTGACTTGGAACTGAAGTTTTGCACCATGATCAGATTTTTACCTCAACTAATATTCAATTTCAAGTCAAATTATCACGTGTTATGCATCTAAACATGTTTATTGAAGTTGCCTGAAGTTAATGACTCACAAAATGCATGGTTTGGCTGAGTTTTAAGCTAATACAAGTCACATTTTCCATGATGAGGATACACATAATCACACTGAATTTCCACTCAATTTACCCCTCTCAGCATTCCATCATCTTCAGCTATAAATAGAGGACCTTAATACCTTCATTTCCAAGATTTTGAGAGCGAGAAAACCTCTGCTCCACCTTCAAATTTTCTGCAAAAAAAAGAGTTATCGTGTTTTGATTTCCAACCACTCTCAACTCTATTTCTTGATTCAGTTAGCTCCATCGTGTTCCTCTAAAGCTTCTGCAACAAGAATCAAGATCTAAGAGTCCCTGAATTGCTCCAACCAAATCCAGTTTCAGAGCTTCTCAGATCATTTTTTGACAAGGTAGTTTGAAGCTCCATTTTCAATCAAATAAGTTTCCACAATGTAGTCCTTTGCTTGCTGAGTGTTTCCCCTAACCAAGCTAGTGTTGATTGTTCTTGTTCATCATTTAATTTTTGTTTTAGTGTTTTTCATTTTATTATATTTTCTCTGAAATTCTCTCTACTCCCTTTCAATATATGAAAATGGAGAGTTAGATTGAGTTTGCCTTGATGAGATAGTTATAATGATGGTGGTCTCATGATCTCATGTTACCATTTAGCAATCTCCGGTGACTGGTTCACCAAAGAAGATGACCGGAGAGGCTGGAACGATGATTTCATTCAGATACACGCTAGCTAAATAAAATGTTTTCATTGGCGGGATTTGAATTTGTTCTTGTGTTATTTCTGGACTAATTTCTGTCGTGCATAACGCATCTGGACAGTTAGATCTACCAAATCAGATTAATGAGGTAGATCCAACGCACATGGTTTTTCCTATTTTATTTTCATTTTAAATTGCATTTTCCTTAAAAAATTCATAGTAATTTCATTTTTAATCCAAAATAATTTCTAAAATTTTCTTTTATTTTCTTTTTCTTATTTTATATTTTTCATATTTTATTTTCATCATTTTCTATTTTTCATGAATTTTCTTGTTTTTGAAGCATTTTAATTAGTTTAAACATACTTTTATGCATTATAAATTTCTCAAAAATTATATATATCATTCTCATATTGTTCCTGACTTGCATGATTTTTTTAATCATTTCTCATGTGACTTGATGCATCATTTGCATTTTCATCTTTATTTTTATTTTAAAATTAATTTTAAAAATTATTTTAGTGCATATTAAT